AATTTTGTACCTTACCTTTTCTTGATTGGCTTGTTATTAATCTTGGGATAGAAAGATTGTATGGTGGGAGGGAGTAATGGAAATATTCTTTTTGGACTGGTTTGTTGGTTTCTTTGGAAAGAAAGAAACAGGTTAGTATTTGACAATATAATGCCAAGGGAGGGAGATACAGAAAGAGTGGCATCTTCATATCTCATGAATTTTGTTGAAGCTCGTGAGCTGTATTGTAAATCTGGATTGCAAAATAGCATGAGGAGGGAAATTCAAGTTCAGTGGCTGCCTCCCCCTGTAGGATGGGTAAAAGTGAACTCAGATGGGTCAGCAAACAGAAGCTGTATGAACTGTGGCTGTGGTGGAGTATTGAGGGATGATTCTGGTAAGTGGTTGAAAGGCTATGTGCGCAATCTGGGAAGTCGTAGCTCGGTCATGGCTGAGATGTGGGGAGTCTTGGTGGGAATGCAATCAGCCTGGGAGCTTGGGTTTAGGAAAATTGTTGTTGAAAGTGATTCTCAGGTTGCTCTTAGTATGATAAAGGATGGTGTTGCTGAGGGGCACAATCTTAGGGGGCTGTTTAATAAGATTGACGCTTTGAAGAATTATGATTGGCAAGTAGAATTCTCTCACACTTTCAGAGAAGGAAACAGGGTGGCAGATTGGTTAGCAAACTTTGCTACCACTAAAGGGTGGGAGACAATGCTCTTAGACTCGCCTCCGGAGGAATGTGTTAGCTTATTATGTGATGACTTTAGGGGAATGGCCTGGTCTCGTGTGACTAGAGGGCTGTAGTTGGTTTTTAATTTCCTTTGTATTCAAAAAAAAAGTCTTCGTCTGAAATTATTCGCTAATTTTCTTTTTATCAAGTATTCACTAATTGTTAAATTTTAACAATTATGTAAAAAAATTAACTTCTATTAATGTAATAATACATATTTAAATAAATGAAAAGTTTCAAAAAATCCTGTAAGTTTTCTCAAAATCACTTACCCTTTCCCAAAAATTTTAATTATTTATCCCCTACCTTTATTTTCCAACCAAAACTAAAGTTAACTGTATCAATGCATAACATGTATCAATGCATGAATCAATGCATGAGCATACAATTACTATCATAATTACATATCACATCTCATAAACCATATCTTCTCAATGGAGTATGGTGGAACACTCAATGGGATCAACCCCAAGGTCCAAAGGTTTACCTTGCTCTTGAGCTTTCCTCAATTGCACACAACCCCAAGGGTTGGTCACTCCACTTGGTCCTTTTGCCTCAATCCTATTAACACAAGGAATACAATCAAACAATGCTAACAATGCAAGGAAATCCATAGTTCCAAGCCTAGATTTCTCCAAACATCAAAGCATACTAAAATAACACTATAAACTCATTTCTACCGATTAAATGTCATTCCTAGCATTTTTCACAACATACTCTAAGCCTCATTCTTCCTTGAACATAGTTAATTTACTCAACATTTCATAAAAACCCTAAAACACTATTCATTAAACCCTAACCATGAAATTTTCCAAGAAAACAAGGTTCAAGGGTTAAAATCTTACCACCAATGGTCACACAACCAAGGATTGATGGCTCCTCAAGCTCCAATGGAGGTTGAAGCTCCCAAAACCCCAAACTCTCACAAAGGGGCGGAACTTTGAGAGGAAAAATCTCACAACACAACACTCCCCACTAAGAACCAAGCTTGGATTATGAAAGAGGGGAAAATTTAGAGTGGTTTAGGCTTTTGAATCACCCAAAACGGTTAAGGTTTCCTCCCTCCTCTCTCTCTTCTTCTCTCTCATTTTCTCCTCCTTCTCCTTATTCTTCTTTCTGGTGCCTCTGTTTCTCGACGGGGAATTGGGGAAAATGGGGCTCCTTTTTGCTTTCTAAGTCACTTACTTAGTTAAGTGGCTTATGTGGGTATTGGTTCATCTATCTATTCAACTCCATTAATTACCAAACTTTACCCAAAAGTCTGGAATATTATTCTAGGAATATTTATAATTTTATTTTTATATTTCGGGCACTTTTGCCTGTACCCATTTATACCCCTTAATTTTCACTGAGTACATTTTTTAACTCCAAGTGACTCAGATTCATTTAATTAAGCATTATACTTAATTTTACTCACTAAAACATGCTTAATTATTTAATTAAAATTAATCAATTAAATGCTTAAGTTTGGGGTATTATAACTTACCCTTTCCCAAAATTTTTAATTATTTATCCCCTACCTTTATTTTCCAACCAAAACTAAAGTTAACTGAGTTAATGTTTTTAAAAAATATCAAAATTACTCTTAAAAAAAAAAAAAGCAGAGAAGAAACTAATGTTATGGGTGTTTGTATAGAAGATTTCCAAGCTACACATGTGAAAGTGTTAGAAATTGTTTTCACTCAAAAAATTTCATTCCATAAACTATTATGTAGTAGATAATATATAAAAAAAAAATAATTTAACAAGAGTAATCTCGAAAAAATCCAACCTGGAAATAACCATTGATTCACTACACACTCACAAAGAAAAACACCCAAAATCCAAAATAAGCGTTGACCACGAAAAAGAACACGAAATTAATTTAGTTCACCATAAAGGATGGGTTATATTATGCGAGAGTTTGGAGGAAAGAAGGCAAAAGAGTCATCAAAAACATAAATACAAAGGACAGAATATCACAGAACCACTAGCTTCAGACAAAGAGAGACACGCATCCAGATCTACGAAATCCAACACAACAACGCTTACAAATTTTTCTCCTTCTCCTATTTCAGATTGTGTAGTGTTGTGCTTTGCTTCTCTCTCTTCCTCTACAATGATAAAAAAGAAGGCTACGACACATCAGATGAAGACAAGGCGATGCAAGTCGCAGCCACGAGACATCAAGGGTTCCTCTACTTTTTTATTTTATTTTAAGGGTAGTTAAGGTATTTTTTTAAAAAAATTTACTCTGTGAATTTTATTTTGGATGAAAAATTAAATTAGAGGGTAAGTGATAAAGAAACTTTAAGTAAGGGTGTAAATTATTCAAAATTTTAGGGAGGGGGTAAATGATTCAAAATTTTAGGAAGGGGGTAAATGATTCTAGAGGAAACTTGTAGGGAGATTTTGAAGTTTTCCCTTAAATAAAACATACAAAATTAATATTTTGTCGTAAACACTTTTTAAGAATATTTATAATGAAACAACTAAGTAGTACTAGAGGTATTTATCAACCAATCCAAATCGATTCAAACTGCGGTGATAAATACCGTGAATACCCCTAAATAGTACGTGTGTTTCTTGTTGACATGCATAAGGCATTTTCTTTAGACACTAGATAAGAAATTTTTAAAATATTAAAATTTAATTTTGTAATCTGTCATTCTTTCCTGCTTTAATATAATTTTTTTACTTAAACGCTTAAAATAAAAGGATAAAAAAAGTCAATGAGAATTTTTTTGTTTTGGGTCAATGTTAACCCTACGGACTTAGTTTCTTGCACAATATATATATATATATATATATATATATAGAGGTAGGATCCTTTGACATCGGTGTCAAATTTGAAATTTGACACCTCATATGAAAGCCGTTAGATCAAAAAATATCAATATATATATATATATATATATATATATATATATATATATCTTGCCACTAACCAAGTAGCTATTGGCTTAATGTTTTTTTTATATATATAGTACAGAAAGAAACAATTCCTATTTATTTTTGTGTACAGCAACACTTATCAGTGAACGTAAATTATTATAAGAAACATAATTGTGCATATTTAAGAAATACAGACAGGAACCATATATACAAGTTACGAGTAATTAATAATCTATATGCTTCAGTGGAACCAATCTGTAATCTCTTGGTAGTTAAGTACTGAGTTGAAAGCTCGAAGTGCCTTGTTCAAGGATACACACCACCAAAAGAACCTGTAAGTTAAGTAAATTAAATAACACTTTCAGAGGTAAATAATTAATAAATTTGTTTGTTTTTAACTTTAAATATTATGCCACCAATACATGGAAAGTGTTTTTGCATGCAGAATTATTTTTCCAACGACTTCTCTTGTGAGAAAAATGTCCGATGTGTTTGATTTATGTAATTTTTTATTAATAATTATAAAAGATCACTTTATTAATATATACTTTATTTTTTATTTTTAAAGTTTGAATGGAATATAATGCAATTTTGTTTACCAAAAAAAAAAAATACAATTTTATAAAAATATATGACATTTTTATAATATTAATAAAAATAAAATAAAAACATTTTTTTTCACGAAACAAACATACTCTCAAGTCTCAATGGTTCTTCAGTCTTTGTGATGGCACTTTGATTTCTTCTCACTAAACTTAAAGTTTGTCCAAAATATGACTACTATAGCCTATAGGGTTTGATAACTTCAATGGCCTTAATTAAAGGTAAATTGCAATGGGTAAGCTTGCATGTAACATGCAGTTAATTTGGCAGGCTACGAGATAAGAAGAATGTGCATAACATTCCCTTGGATGCAAACTGTGTGGGATAAAACAGAACGGTTACGATCTTGTGTCTAACTTTTTTATTTATTTATACTCTACCTACGTATCTCTAACACCGTTAGATCAGAATTTCAAGATGAGAGAAATGGTAAAAATTAGTTAAAATTCTGATCTAACGGTATTGAAAATGAGTAGGTATGAAAAAAGTATGCATAATATTCTATCTCAAAACAGAATTAATTTATCGGAAAGTACCCACTTACCTATATGGCATAGATTATAATTAAGATGATATAGAATGAAAAATTTAAGTGTATGATCGGTTATAATTGTTCTAATATGGTAATGATAGATAAATAACTATATAATATAAAATGTAGAAATCATTAACCAGAATAGAATATGTTATTTATTACAATTATCTTTAAAAGAAAACAGATTAGAAGGAAACAGAAAATTATATAATGTTATATAAATCAATTGAAGTCTCGATCAAAAGGTTCTACTTACCACAGTAGTAGCTTGTTAGATCAACGAAAGGAGTTCATCTTGACGGCCACCATAACATAAAGCCGGTCTCTCATGTCATAAAGAAAGTTGAAGTAAGCATGTCTCCATTTCCTATTCAAGAAAATGGGACTACAAATGCCCAAAAAGCCCATGACAAATCCAGATTCTATGCCAATATAGAACCATGATAAAAAATCAGATTCACCCTCATCTTCATCCGTAGGCTTTGTTTCTCTGTATTTAGTGTCTGGAGAGCATTTTTTAGTAAGCGGAGATCCACAAAGATTAGGATTGCCAATATAGCTGAGTGCACTAAACCCCTGAAGTTGTGTCCCTGATGGTATTTTGCCTATGAAATTGTTAAATGACAGGTTCAAGTAACTGAGAAAAGACAAATTGGACATCGTCTGAGGAATTTCACCCCATAGTTGGTTTGTTGAAAAATCAAGGGACTCCAAGTTATACATGTTGCCAATCTCATTTGGTATGCTTCCCATTAACTTATTGTGGGACAAGTTCAAGGAGTGCAATCCAATGAGGCTAAACATTTGTGGAGGTATTGTTCCAGACAGATCATTATTTGAAAGATCAATTAAGGTCATAAAGTGCAGGTTTTTCCAATATTCTGATCCTTGACCTTTTGTAACTAGCTCAAGACTGTCTCTGAAGGAGTAATGGATATCAGAAAAATTAAAGTAAAAAGCAAGCTTACTCCGAGAAGCATTGTTGGAAATTAAGGCTGTGATATTATGCAGACAGTTAGGTATGTGTCCTGAGATTCTGTTATCTGCAAAATCCAAAATGATGAGGGAAGTCATTTGGCATATCTGTGGTGGAATATTACCACTGAATTGATTGGACCTTAATTGGAGAGCCATTGCACTCTGCGGTATCCAGTTTGGTATATTTCCTGAAAAGTTGTTTTCACGAACATTAAAGATCAATAGAGAGTGGCAATTTTGCAGCGAGGGAGGTATCTCTCCGTACAAGTTGTTCTCATGCAGATGCAGTGAGGTGAGATTAGGTAACAACCCCATTGATGGGGGTATCTTGCCTGTCAGGTTATTGCTTCCCAGGTTAATATGAACCAAAGATTTCCAATTCTGCCAGCAATTTGTTAGCCCTCCAGAGAGATGATTATCAGATATGTCCAAGTATACCAAATTGCTTTTCCCATTTAGCAGCATCTTATGATCACACAAGAGAGGAGAAATGGATCCTGATAATGAGTTACTCCGCATAACCACAACGACCACATTTGATGATAATCGAGGCAAACTACCTTTCAAATCATTTGATAACAGAGTTATGTATGTAGAGTTCAACAACACTTTTGACAGGTCCCCATCTATTGAATTCCTTTCTAAATCGAGGAAGGTCATTCTTGATACAAAATTCCAAAACTCACCTTTAGCCTCAAATGATGAGTCCACAATAGTTAGAGACTGAATAGATCTCTGGGTATATAACCACACAGGGAGTTTAGAACCCGCAAATCCAAAAATTAATTGTTGAAGTTGAAAAGGTGGAATCCAGTGGGAATCAAAATCAAAGATTATTGGTGGTGAGATAGACAAATACTCTAACTTTGACAGTTTGGCAAAATTTCTCTCGGACACGACCCCTGTCAAATGATTTGAGCGAACACCTAAGACAACTAAGGATGATAGGTTTCCCAAATTTATGGGAATAGATCCAGAAAACTTGTTTTTATGAAGATCAAGATATTGTAGATGTTCAAATTGGCCTAACCAATCTGGAATTGGTCCATTGAAATGATTTTTTTCTAGGCCCAAGGATTCCAAGTGTCGCAGATTTAGCAATGCCTTTGGTAGTTGGCCTCTTAAAACACTTGAACCAAGGCAAATTTCAGAGATACCACTAAGATTGAATAACCATTTGGGCAACTCTGAGTCAAATTCATTGCTGTGAAGATTAAGAACTTCAAGTGCAGTAAAATTAGCATACTGAAGAGACGGACTCAAGTTTTTCAATTGACAACTTCTCAAGTACAGCTCCGAAAGTAATGGAAGCATTGTAGTCACTGACTGAAGCCAGTTAGTTTCCTTGTGAAGATTAATGCGACTAAGATCGATCATTTTCAAGGATGAAATGCGGGAAAGCCAATGAAGATTATCAATGGCAAGAGCCTCATTAGATGATAAATCAAGATATTCAAGAACCGAAGAGTTTGCACAGTACTCTACAGATAGGTTATGACAATTTTGACTATCAAATTGGATATTTAAGAAGTCATTATTATGCAAATTCAAGTACTGTAGAGATTGAAACTGCAGCAAAGAAAGGTGGATAGAACCTGTGAGGCAGTGTGATTTATCCACTTTGTCAATGTAAGTTGGAAGAGTTGTAGAACATGGGAGACTGAGTTCAGTGACTCTGCTTGTGATGTTGTCACACTTCACTCCTATCCAATCACAACAGTCTTTTTCAATGGACCATGAAAAGAGCTTGTCTGATGGATCTTTTACTCCTTGTTTGAAGTTCAAGAGACCTTCCTTGTCTTTCTCGTTGCACCGAATCTTAGAGCTGCATATGCATGTTTTCAACATGATCATTGCACAAAGCAACCATGCAAAAATGATTGCATATTGAGACAGAGATGTTTTCATGATCGCGTGAGAAATTATGAACGGGCTAGCTAGGGAGCAACATGAATTGTGACGTGTGGGAGAAGTTTGGGTCTCTTAAATATTGTTCCGAATCTTGTGCATGGAAAAAATAAGGTCGGGAAGGGTCACATTTCCTTAGACACTTGACCCCATCCATGACACTAATTTGCTAAAAGCTTTAAGGAGATCATTAAAAAAAACAAAAAGGTGAGGACTCTTCTGAAAAATAACGACCCTTGTAGAAAAATTGTTCTATAAAACTAAATAAAAAGGCAACTAAACTATACACGCAATATATAAAACCAAACGTAATTTCTTTATATGAAAAAAAAACGAAAAAAGAAAGTGAGCTTCTTTAAAAACTTCTTAGAATTTTAGACAATACTTTTAGTTTTAATTTTAAAGCATCTTCTAATCAATATTTTTTTTGAACCGAATGGGCTCTTAAACACAATTTTTTCTCGCAGTAATCAAAATAATTATTTAGTTTTACATACGGATTATATTACAAATTCTT